TCAAAGGGGAGTCCTAGAGCCTAAGTCGCGCAATAAAGAAATCCCATGTCTTCCAGAAATGGGCTTGTACTGTGCCCCTACTGTGCTAATCAGCGGCTAGGAGCAGTTGTGGGCAACATGGTCATAGTACAGACACAGAAGTGGATCCAGAAGGACAGCTGCTGGGGCATAGTAATGTGTCCCAAATGGGCTCCCGGATTTGCCCAGGGGGATTCCTGGGACACAGAACTATTGGTGATAAAACCAAGGCAGTCCTGGGGAAACTGGCATGGTTAGTTCCCCTCTCCCTAGCACTGCAGACCTAGTCTGAGCACTTTCTTGCCCGGCATACCCCTCATCTCTGTGGCCCCTCTTAGGATCATTTCTACTTATCATGGCAGCTTACAGCTGGAAAATTTGGCTGGAAAGCGGTTTTGTTTCAATGGCATTTTGAGGGGAAAAGGCAGAATGGAGGGGGCTAAAGACAGAAGAGATGTGAAGAAGTGGAAAATGCAGCTCCAACCCTGGGAGGAGGGGAGAGAAAGGGCAGCAGTGGAAGCAGGCATGAAGGTCAAGGGAGGGCTGCTTCCTTTAGTGACAGAAATGTTGAAACAGAGTAAAGCTGCCCTCAAAGAGCAGAAGGTTAAAAATACCAAACAGAAGCAGTCGAGACACAGGCAAGAGGGCAAGTGGGACTAGGATTCTCCGGACAAGACTGAAGCCAAGACCAAAGTGGGAGGATCAGCCTGACAGGAGCGGAGGCAGATGTGCTTTCCTTAGACAGACACAAGGCAGCGTCGGCCACTGTCATCAGCATCACCTCCATCTTCCCCAGGACGCAGGATTTACAGAATAGGTCTGTGCCGATTCCCAGAGGCTGACAAAAGACCTTGCCTGTCAAAACATTCCCTGAACCTGTTGCAAAGTTGTTCATTATACCTGCAATAAAAGCAGACCCTCCTGAAACTTACTGGTAGGCTCAGAACTCATGAAAGCTGGGATGGAGGAGGAATGTTTTCCACAGGCCTCTGGGGAAAAGTCCTCCGCTGTGCGGGGTCAGGAGTGACTCATCTAAATTCACATACAAGATCTCGCTGCCCTGGGACAGAATCACCTCACTCTGACACCACAGCAGACTTTATCCCTGGGCAACTGAAGCCTGAAGGAAGGAGCTTTAATAGGAAGGAAGTACCCAGAATGGACTACAGGCTGACCTGGTTCTACTGCGCTTTGCTTTATTGTGCTTCAGAGAATCTGTGGCAACCCTGCAAGGAAGTAA